TCCCAATTAAATGATGTCTTGAAAAATAATTTGAAAAATAAATATTTAATGCTGAGGATAAATCATGAAAAAAATTTATTGTTTTTTCTTGATATATCAAAAGAAACAAATAAAAATGAAGATCTATTTTAAGAATAAATAACAAGTAAAAGTGAACGGAGGAAGTACATTTTCAGAAGAAAAACATCTATTCACTTTCTCTACACCTCTTTAAAAACCTAACAAATCCGAAAAGTCAAATATTTATTGATGATATCATTGATGGAAAAAGCTAATTTGATTTAAAGCAGAGGAGGTTACCTATTTCTGAAATTAAGAGAATGTATATATTACATCATGTGATGGAGTTTGAATTTTTAGCCTAATTTGCATGATTTGACCTTAAAAGCCTTCCAACGTCAACAATCCTATTTTTTTCCGTACATGACCTAATTATCACACCATTTTACAACTAATTATCTAAGTATCCTTGGTCTTTTAACGCATTTTTACCTTGTGTAGCAATTCATCAGAAATTTGGTGAAATTTGTTCAGATTTCTTATCACTTATATTAAGGATGTACATAATCAATTATACACTCATATACAATTATTAAACTCTTAACTTTTATGTACCACATAACATTTTAAAGAAGGGTATGCACTGGATCATCCTTCGCCTAATATGACAACACCCATGCATTCAACCACATAAACTTAAATATTCAGTAAATGTATAAAATATGTATAACCGTGTATAATTTGTGTATTTGTGTAAACCGGTTAAAAGAGGTACACTATTATGTATAGATATTTATTTTATGTATACAATAAAAATTCTGTGCAGAAAAATTATATAGTTTTTAATTATTATTTTGATGGACGACTATACTTGACAAATATCCCTTTAAATTTTAAGTTAAAGCTGCCCTAATTTATATTGTAATCATGGAGCCTGAAGTAAAGGGACAGATCAATGTGGTCCAATTCAAATATTACATGGATGACCAAATGTGTTGGGCCAATATTGACTCTAAATCGGAATGCTAGACTTGCAAGCCAAGAATTCCTAATAATACTTCATTTGATAGTAACGCGTGCCAAATTAGACTATGATTCAAATGATTATATGCTTCTAAAATTGGAAAAGTTGCAAATATATATAATTCGATCAACTTATTTATCGACATGAACAAAATATATATAATGTATACATATTAATGTATATATTGTGTATAAATATGTATAGTTTGGTACGTAAACTTTCTAGTGGAAAAGAGATGTTCACCTTTAGATAGAGCGAGATAGGGTTGTGTACCATCGGGGTTCGGTTTTGAAGTTTATCGGTTTGACTTATTAATTATTGATTTGTAAAGATGCTAATCCGTTATAGAATCATTAAGATATTGGTTTATCGGTTATTGATCATTATCGGTTTAACCATTAAGATTTGACATAAAAAAATAATTGAAAATTACTTAGAAACAAGGTGACTAACTAAATGAACCATGTATATGAGTTCACAGATTGCATCTTGCTCAAAAGCAAACACTTTTACAGAATAACCAAGAATTTGAGACAATAAAAAATAAAAGTAGGAAAACTAATCTCTAAGTCAAGGACTTTATATATAAAATGGTATGAATATAATTATTTAATTTACTATCGGATTATCCGTTAACCCATTTAAAAAAAATCTCAAAACATTAAGAACCAATAACCCGATAACAAAAAAAAACCTCATCAAAACCACTAAATCAATAATCCCTTACTGATAAATCAATAATTCTTTTCGATTCAAATTATCAATTTCGATTTAATTTTGAACCCCGGAGGCGAAACGATGTGTGTCCTAGCGACTCGTATACTCCAAATCAGGGAAATAACTAATGCAGTTCTCACATATAATTGAATGATGAACACTTGAGGCCATAACAAGGACAAAGTAATATTAAATGTTGTGGGGAACACTTAGTGAAGGGAGCTTCTATAGCCTTTAATTCCTCAATGATAATCCATATTTAACCTTCCAAGGCTTCCACATTTTTTTTCGTCTACTTTTATTTGTTAGGTTTTATTTATGATAATCAAATTTACATAAATTTGAATCAATATTTTAAAATCTATGTTTTCATCATAATAATATGAAAAGAGTCATAATTTATGTAATATTTTTTTGTATGATTTTCAAACATTTTAACTTTATTTTTAAATATTGAATTAATTTCAAAAATTGATCAAATTGACACAATAAGTAAATATGAACCGAAAAGAGTATATGATAACGACAAATTGCATATATCAATGTGGAAGAAATAAATAAAACAAAATTTGCTCTAGGGATTGTACAATTCAATAATGGGACAAGTGCCGTTAAGTTAGCTAGTTGCATATATACACCACAAGTTGTAGGATTTTAGTGCAGTGTAAGTCAAAAATAATTAATGTCCAATAGTATTAAAAGACATTTGATATTTACAATTCATATGAATAAGGACATAAAATTATCCAAGTTTTCTTCAAGAACCATAAGCTCTTCATTCTATCGTAAAATTATATAAAAATGATCCAACTTGTGGATAATCCAAGTCTTGTCAAATTTTGGATTTCTTGTACAGCTCAAAGTTTGTGAATTTTTTTGAACGTTGACATTAATATTGTTAAACAAAGAAACATACATCAGCTGTTTGGGAATAACTAGTTATAACTATTGTTGACTACGAAATCGATCTTTATTAGATTATGAGCCCGTTTGAAATTGCTATTAAAAATAACTTATTTCTCGAAGCACTTTTTAAAATAAAATTATATATTCAAATAAAACTTCAACTTCAAATCAATCTGATTTCAAATTACGTTATAAAGATCTATTAAGCTCAAACTATAGAGTGAGCCTCATCAGTGGCGGAGCCAAGATTTTTAGTAAGGGGTGTCAAATATTTGCGTTGCTATCAAGGATAGAACAAACAACCTCGAACAGTTTTTCCAATCCCTTAGCCACTACACTAAATCTTCAACTTGTATCAAGAGGTGTCAACAATTTTATATACATTTATTAAGCCAAATTTTAACCTGTATATACAATCTAATTTTTCGACGAAGGAATGTCGCCTGACACCCCTTGCCCTATAGGGTAGCTCTGCCCATGGGCCTCATGAGCAATATTTGTGGCTAATTAATGCACTGGATCGAGAGAGAAGCCCAGTGTAGCTCTATGAAACTGAGTTGAAAAGAAAAAGAGTCAAAAGTAATGGAACATAAATGGATGGAATGACCATAAAATTATGACAGTCCAATTATATATATATATATATATATATAATTTAGACTATGTGGAAAAATATAGGTATACAGAAGTAAACTGTATTTTATTTCATAATAACGTGTGGTGCTCTACATTGCCATAAATTATAGCTAGTTAAATATATATAAATACAAACAATGATTGCATTATTACTAAGAAACCTTTTAGTATATATATAATTTGATCTGGCGAAATAATAGGTGCATACATAATGCCACCAAAATCTACTATATATTCAACTATATATTCTGGATCAGAACTCTAAATATTTGAATATTTAGTTTTTTTTTCAAAGTACTCCTTTCCTTCGTTTATTTTTGGTTGTTTTGTTTGAATTATGCACTCATTAAGAAATAATAATTAATATGAATTTGAGTTTTCGAAAACGATTGAACTAGTTAACTATATGAGACTCCCATTGATATTTTTTATTATAATATTCATATTAATTAATGTTTAATCTTAATCACGAGAAATGATTTGAGAAATAAATTATTAATATTAAGGTCAAAACATAAAGAAAAAAAATATCTTGATATATTAAAGTATTTAACATAACAAGTGAAAATTATATAAAAATATATTTTTAATGTAATAAACAAGTAAAAAGTGAACTAAAAGAGTGATAAATAAGACACTAAACTATTCCTACATTACAACATGATACACGATAGTTTATTCTAAATGAAATTAAATAGTGGAAGATTAAAGCCGCTATACATAAATGCTCTTACTTCACCTATTATCAACAGCCACCTCTCACTTAATTAATATCTCCATTATTACTAAACAATAATCTTCCAAATTTCTGCCATCCCATGTTCCACTGAATCTCAATCCTCACTTAATTTAAAATTAAAAGATATATATGACCATGAAATTTGATTAGATATTAAAAATTATTTTTTGAAGTTTCTAAAAACTAGTTCAGACTAGTTTTGAATTTTTGGGACTTCACTTACAAAACTTTAAAAATTACTTAATTTAATAAAATGTTCATATGTAACTTTAAAAACTCAATTTTAAATTTCAACTTCAAAATATACAGTGAAACAAGAATTTATTTCATAGAATCAACTAACTCAATGGTGGGAATAACAGATACATGAGTGTCCTTAGAAACAGTGTTGTCACAGCCTGAGAAGCACATCCAAGTCTTGAGAGAAAGTGGCCTGCAGTTTTTGCTTCTTTTGGAATATGTCTATCTAAAATTTTTGTGATATTTTATAATTAAAATTATTTTTGTGTACAAATTTTGAGTGTAGTCTCAAAATATTTTGTAAGGTAGATTAATAATATTTTGATGATAATGACATAACTTGAGAACCTATATATGCTCTAATACATACAAATTACAATATTTAATTAACACTATTGCAAGCTAATCTCAACAAGGTATATTAGATTTCAATTCTATGAGCAAATACAAATTTCTCTTTCAAGCCATGAATGAATTTAATATAGCTCTTCCAAGAGAGTGATCTTAATGGTGAGAAAAAATATTACAAATGTCTAAAGTTACAACAAAAAGGCAAGGAAATGAATAATACAACAAGCAAAGAAAAAAATGATAATACAATCAATTACTCTCCCTTTTAGAGATCTTTCGATAACATATCCAATGAAATCTAATAAATACGATTTTAGAAAGGTCTAACGTATTACGTACGTATTTCTTACCCCTACTTTCTAAAACTGTTTTTGAATGACCCTCAGCTCAAGTGCGATCTTTTCCTACATCAACTAACAATTTAGACTCCTCTAATTCTTTTCCATTTGGTTTCTTTACAAACTTAACCACAACCCCATTACAATTATTCTTGTGCATTAACCTTGTACTACTTTGTATCATGCCCATTGATCTTGACTTACTCAACCTTACTGTAGGCATCTTCACAGCCAATCCTCCTTTCCTCCTAACCGTCTGATTATTATTGTTATTAGCCAGATCAAACGGTTCAGATGCAATCTCACCAAGTGAACCAATAGATTTCGATCTAATTACTGGTTTTACTTTTTGACCAATCACAGCACTTCCTAATTCTGTGGTCGTCACATTGGATACTTTCCTATTTCTTCTACTTCCCATTCTCGAGATCTTAACTATTTCAATACTTTCATCCAACGGCTCATATTTCACCACGCGCGTTGATTCCCTCACGCGCCCCACTCGCCGCCCTATGTTATTCCATATTGGCGAGCTCATTCGTTTATACACCAGTTTTAACCACTCCACCACCTCCGCCATCGCCGGCCGTTTCGCCGCCGTCTTACGGACGCATCGCGCTGCCACTATAGCCAACTGCCGTAAAGCTCCGTCGTCCTCCGGTGAGGTGAGTCTCGGGTCATAAATCTCTGTATACTCGCCGGATTTAATCAACGGCACAGCCCAATCCACCACTGATGGCGGACTGTAATTCACGTCGATTGCGTTCCGGCCACTAATGATCTCTAATAACAAAATCCCAAAGCTGAAAACGTCAGATTTTGTACTGAGATCACTCGGTGCTAGATAAGCAGGATCCAAATACCCCAACGTACCCGCCGGCGGCGTGCTTTTAACGACGACATCTTCAACATGACCTCTCAAAGACAACCCAAAATCACCAAGACGAGCACTGAAATTCCCATCGATTAGAATATTGGAAGACTTGATATCTCTATGAATCACCGGCGGATTTGAAGAATGTAAAAAATGAACACCCCTAGCAATTTGTAAAGCAAATCGAACACGACGAGTCCAATTAGGAGGTTTAGAATGAGAATGAAGCAATTCATACAAAGACCCATTAGGCATAAACTCGACAACAATCAATTTATTCTGATTCGAGTCCACCGCATAACCCAACAAGTTAACCAACCGAGGGTGGTGTACTCTAGAAAGAATCTCAATCTCATTTTCCGCCGGAGAATTAGTAGAACTGTTACGGGGTTCAGTTAATTTACCCCTTTTAACAGCTACAACAGTGAGCTTAGTTTGATTAAGATGAGCTCTGTATACATATCCATGGCTTCCTTTACCAAGAAGATTATCCTGAGAAAATGCATTAGTAGCAGAGTGAAGATCAGAGTAAGAAAACTCTCTGATTGTAAATGGTTTATTATGAGTTCGATTCTTTTTGAAGTTCCAAGAATCGCAGGTGGCAATAGCAGATTCGGCATTGCATGAAAGATAACCCATAATAAAGTAAGTTAAAAGAAGAAGAGAAGTAGTAGTAATGTAAAGAAGAAAAAATGGGGTTTTGAGAAAAAAGTGAAGAGGCAGAGGCCATAACTGAGGAAGAAGAAGAAGAAGAGTGGGTGAAAGGTTTGAGGGGTTCGTAAAGACATAAAGCGGTGGTAAAGGACGGGTCTTTCTCTCTCTCTTTTTGTATTATTTTAACAGCTTTTGTTAATACCGATTTGAATGGTAACTTGTGAAATGTGCAACCCCAAAGTAGGAGAAAATGATTAAATTAGTCCTTAATGTATGAATTTAGTTCCATATGTTTAAAGTAATTAGTTTAATTTTAAGTCATATACTATATAAATAAAAATAGTGTTTATTTATACACTAATAAGAATTGTGGTAGAGTGGTAAGTGTTTATTCATTTTTAATCAGAGATTTTGAAATTGAATCTCTCTAAATTATTGATGTGAATTCAAATTTAGTCAAATTGCACTAGAGATAGAAATCTAAAATTCTTATCCATTTTTTTGTCGTTGTTATTCTTACTTTAAAAGATAAATGAAAGCTCTTCGCATGTAGGAGGATGTCATAAATACTAGAGTATCAAATAGCAAAATTTTGGGAGTATTATTGATAATTTAGATATGTAATTAATAATTTGAAAGGTTTTTATATAATTTTACTTTCGCCCTTTATTTCAAGCATGCCTTGATTTGACTCAATTCTTAGGATATCTTTTACTAGAGGCGTATTAATGATTATTTAAAATTGTAAAATTTGATCACTACCTTATGTAATTAATACTAAGAATATAAGGGGAAAAATATTAAAACTCTCTTGATTTACTAAAATAAATAAATAAAAAATAATAATATGTTTTTAATATTAAGAGTCAAATAAAATAAAACGAAAGAACTAATTCATTCTGACAATAAAAATTAAAGAAAATCATTACTTATGTGACTTAAATTTTTTTATCACTTTTTGAAGTACATTCAAAGAACATTTTGATCATGTTTATACATTAAGGATTAAATGAAACCAGTCTCAAACCTTAAGGACGATTTTGATTTATTTTTTCCAAAAGAGAAGATCCTATTGCTGAACACGTCCTCCAATTATATTCTTTGTAACAATTTGTCAATATTGGCTACAAATTTCATTCACTTAATCCTTTGACTTTGTTAATGTCAAAAAAATATCTTTTGACAATGTTTCTTTTACTTTCCGTCCTTTGAAAACTACTCTCAATATTTCATACTTTACAGCTTAATTTTCTATTCATGTTTATATTTTTCTCACTCAATCGTGCTGGAAGGAACTATTTTTCTCATAAATATCACCACGTGCATAAAGATTATTATTGAGTATATTTTGATTGTTTTTATGAGTGAGAAACCCAAATAAATTAAAGAAATGAGAAACTTTTACAATGTCAAAATCTAAAGGGTTAAAAGTTTAAACATGAAAAATCAAAGGACGATTAATTTTACATTCTCTTCTTAATTAGTGAAATAGTAGCTCTTGAAATTTGCACCGATGCATATATTACTTTTCCTTTTAGTAACGTTGACGTTATTATAAAAGAAAAGATTTGTTTTGCTTCAATAGATAAAAGTAAAGTTACTATGTAATTACAATAACCAATGGGGTAACAAAAAAAATAATTAAGAAATGGAGGATTCAAGACGCGCCAGTCATTAAAATTTTAGGTCTAAACTTAACCTCAAGGGCATTTTTTGATCCCATAGGTGTAACGACCTGTTCCCGTCGTTATGGAAAAGCCAACGGAAATTTTTTTTGGGCCAGAAAACTTTTTATTAGTAACTTGAAATTTTCTAGCCTAGTCCAGATTTGGACGAAATCAGAGTCAGTGAGGTCTAGGGAAATCTGGTAACAAACGAGAGGTTTAATATGGAATGCGATTACATGAGTGGATAGCTAAGACGTTACAGAATCCGTACGACTATACGGAATCGAATTCGGGCGAGTAGAACTCCTGAAACTGATCTTAGCGTGAACAAATATGTTTATGAGTGGCATTGGTTGAAGGTGTGTTGTGAAATAGGTGTTTGGAACTCTTTATTTAGCTCTCTGTTTCCGTGCAAGCACCTAGGGCGGGGCCGCTGAAGCAAGATGAGGTCCGCTGTGACGGGACAGTCGCAACTTAAGTCGGAAATAAACCTAAGAAACGTCATTATTTTACAAATTTTGTTCTTAAGAGTTAGGAGACGATCCCAGGCGATCTCTTAGCAGTTTTCCACGAAATTTGGTGCTAAAGGTAAGGTTTTTACTGCCCTAATCTATGTTTCGATATGTAGAATTTAGTTTATTGGGTAATTATCGATGGGGGAGGGTTTCGATCTAGGAATTATGGTGGAAGAAAAGCCTAATCTGGGTATGGGGAGCTTGGGTTGGCCTAGGGTGTTGATTATAATGCGGGTAATTAGGCCTCGTTTATTGATCCTTGTGTTAATTGTATGTTTTTAGACCACAAACAAGTAGGAAGAATCCAGAAAGGGAAAATTCAAGTGCCTCAAGCGATTCAAGCTTGGATTCGAGGTAGGTGATGGTTGTGATTTCATGTTGTGTGATATATGTTTGTTCTTGCTTCATTATGATGCATGTATGTATGCGAATGTTGCATTATTGATCACACAAATCATAAATGCGGATAGTTGAATGATTGAATGCCATGAATCATGACTTGATTGTATGATTATGAGAATATGCTTGTGATTGTGATTGTGGCTTGTTGAATGGATCGAATGTTGCGTTCTGACACACTAACTGGGATTGGTTGCCATGTACCGGCATAAACATTGAAACGGGTGTCACGATCCGACACACTAACTTGGAACAGATACCACGTACCGGTACACTAACAGTTTGTGTATGGGTTCCATGAGAGGACCATTGAATTTGGTTCCGTGAGAGGACCATTGAATTGTGTTGTGTATCTACTTGTGATGATTACATTCATATCTAATGATGATTGATATTGGAAGACTGTATGTTGCTCTAAAATGATAACCAATGTGTATTATTGAGAACGTGAAATGCTACATTGATCCTGAAAAGATGACTTATATTGTATATGTTCGGCATATGCTTGTTTTATAATGTTGTGGTTACTTGCATGTGTTTCACTTATTGGGACAGCCGTGTGATCCTACCAGTACATTGTGGTTGTGTATTGATACTGCACTTGCTATTTCTTTGTTGAGTACCAGGCAGTGAACGATTCGAATTCACGAGTGAACCAGTTCTTCCAGGCAGCCATGAGTTCTTTATGTCTTAGTCCACCCTTTTCGGACTCAGACTTTCTAGTTAGTTATTCGTATGTTTAATTAGGTTGCACTCCTTCTTCTTAGACTTGTCATAGTAGAGTTTTGGTACAATGACTTTCAGGTTCTAAGGGTTGTTCTTCCGCATTAGTTTGGTTAGTTATTTGTTTAAACCTTGGAGTTTATGGGAACTATATAATTTCTGCATTTAAACCTGCTTCCGTAACTTTAAATGCCTTAGTTTTGATTAAGTTGTGTAGTTCTTTGGTTCCAATTAGTAGAAATGGTTCTCCCACCGGAGGATTAGTGTGGGTGCCAATCACGATGGTCTGGATCGTGACAATAGGGGGGAAGAAGGATATTTTTGAGTCATTTTAAATAAGTTAAGAATATTTTTGACCCTTTATCCAATTTTAAATAGATGAATCTAGAATTTAAACATTATAAGTTTAAGTTTAGAATATTATAACGGCTCATTTGATTTATTGAGTTGAAAACTTGATAATTATAATGTACAACTACTTATTAATTTTCTTAAATGCATTTATAAGGTATGGTAAAGTTGTTAATGTGATATCAATAAGGAGAAACATGTTGATGTGGGAGGGTCGAAAACAAGGACGAGTTAGTGAGGTCTATTTAATATAAAAATAAATACTTCATCCGTCTCATTTAAATGATATACTTTTCTTTTTAATCAATTTTTAAAAATGACATATTTCCTTATTTATCAAAATACTAAATGACACTATCAATATTATACACATGTTAGGTCCTACTTATTTAACAAAAAGTTGAGGTGTACTATTTTTAAAGATAGTTTTTGATCATTGCAAACCTTTTCTATATTTCTTAAATTTTGTGTCAAATTAAACTATATTCCATGAATTAAGACGAAAGGAGTAAAATGGTCGTAGTAAACCGACTAAATTGGGATGAAATACACAGAAAATATGAAAGAACCTGTTTGACAACCAAAACAAGGAAACAAGTAATGAAAATAACAATAATTTAATTGAGTAGACATCAATAGTTAAAAGTTTTCATTGTATTCTCCGCAACAGCGCCAATTATATTCAAATATATGGGTAACAAAATAGTAACTTATTCAAATAAGAAGTACTCAGATAAAAGCAGTCAACCAATATACTTGTAATAGTCAAAAGTTAGTATCGATATGCGAAGCAGTGGCGTGCAATATAATAAAAAGAAGATTCCAATGGATGATACGTATTTTTATTTTTAATCAGAGGTTTATATCTGAGTTCAGAATATAACATTGTTTTTGTTAAAAAAATTTAGTGATATTTTAAATTAGTTAAATCTCAAAACGAGTCTGAAACAAAAATAGAAAAGAAGTGGCGTGCAAATGGCTTAGGGAAAAGGAGAGGGGGAATATTTCGGGTACGTGATCTAAATACAGTAGGGTCAAAATGTTACCATCATTTAATCAACTTTAATTATTTTTAGCGTTTTTTTGCTTTTTAGTCTCCCCTTTTCAGTATAGTAATCTTATTAGTGGGGTTTTTTTTTTAAAAATTATTAAAGTTTCATAGAGTATAGTAGTATACTTGCTCTAACCATGCACAACATAATTTTGTGCAATTTGAAGTTTCTCTACCATACAAAATTTTTAAGAGTGTATTATTAGTGTGCTCTAAGAGTCGCAATTTAAATTAATAAGAAATATTGAAAATCATAGGATTATAAAATAAAAAAATCAATTAATAATCTTTTGTCTCCTTATAATGAAAATTGTTACTAGGAATCTTGGAAGAACAAAAGGATAAAAAAAAGGTGGGGTTAATGATTTGACTATAGATATAGGTCTATTCACTATCAAATATCAATTCCAATAATAGTTACACATTTCTTTTTTTT